CAAGACATTCCGAGACTTGTAAGCTAAACCCTATGACTATTTTTTCCATATAGTCAATAAAAGTTACCTGTCGTTCGCAGTGTTGATAAAGCAAAATGTTATATTTAAAACCAGATACATTTTAAATGGCGGAAATATCAACAATGAAAACATTGGAATCTGTGGAAAATTTCACAACCCCTTCAGGAAATGTTTGTGACCTAGGTCATGGGTACAGTTATACTTCAGCTGAGAAAAAAATATTTCCAAAAAAACAACACCAGTGATCATACAGTATGAAATAAAACTCACTAAAGCTCCCAGTCCATCCAGTCCAAACTAAAGCTGCTCCTGGCAGACAGCAGCTCAGGGAGATAAAATTTTATGGACTGCAAATAAAATCAGTGAAACATGCCTAAAGTAAAGGTTATATTTTTCTCTCCTTCTTAAAGGTGGGATAGTCAAGGTCTGTGACCATCTCATTTGTCATCAAAGTGGCTTCTTAATTATGCTACAGACCACTGACCAAAATCATGTCTGCAGCTCTCCTGAGGACTTCTTTTATTTAGCAAAATTTCGGGATTTCTTTTTTTACCAAGTTTGATCTGATTATTTAGTTAAAAAATTAGAAACGGAGCCTTTTATTTATCCACAGTCCAGAATTTGCAGCTGCAGGACGGGCAGGCTTCCCCGTGCCGCCCTGGGGCTGACCTCGGCCCCGGCCTGCGGGACCACCCTGACCGGGGCCGGCCCCTTCTCCCCGGGCAAACCCGCGGGTTATGAGAGACAAAGCTGGGGCCACCGTGAATCCCGGCTCTGGCCACAGAGGTGGAAAACCAGCACTTTATCACTGAGCCACTGAAAGTCCTCCATGTGATTCCTGATTTTTTAAGAATATGCATTAAAATCTATAGGCCAAATTCCTCCCCAGCTCTGGAACCAGAAGCTCACTGCTTCAGCTTGTCCCCTCTCCAAGGAATTGCAAAGTCTGCAAGCCGGTGGAGAATCTGATGGCCTGTATTTCTTTTAATTTACCTCACAGAGTTCTCCTTTGCACAGGAGATTAATTTCTTCTCTACTTAAAAAATCCACTTACCTGTCAAACTTTCCCCCCAGTTATACCACAGAACTGAAATAACATTTTAAAAACCTCAGCATAAGATCCCATGATGCTGAATAATTTAGACCTTGAGAAGCTGGTTAATTTTTAGGATCTTAGCAAAACCATACACGGTTGCTTTAAATAGCAACGAAAGGCTGATTCAAGCCATTAAATTTTATGTTGTGTGTAATGTTGTAATTGATGTCAAGCCTTTCCCTTATTCTTCACGCTGACATTGGGCAGCCTCCTAACTGCTTGAAGTGCAGTTACAAGAGTCCAGACAAAGTAAAGTACCAAGAAATGGGTGGCAGAAATGGGAATTTGTTGCTAATAACAGAAAGGTTCAAATGTTAAATAATTAAGACTGAGCCAAATTTTGCTAGTTTCTTATCCATTTATTTTGGGGGATAATTGGGTACATTAAGTATTTTGCTGCAAACTGTTTCTTCTGTGCATGCACATAAAACTTTATTACCCTTGTAAAGAGCATGCTGTGAATTCTGATGCTTCTGTGTGTTTGGGAGCATATAATTATTCTCTTTACAGGAAAACACTTTTACCTACATCCTAAACTGAACAGACCAGCTCCCAAAGCAGCAGCTGCTTGAAAGCATGTGCTCAGCTTCAAGTATACCTGAGGAAACAAATGCAAATTCAGCTCCAAGTTGAATAAGAAGCCTTCTGTCCTTCCAGCAGACTTCAGTGCAGTGTTTTGCCTCACCTTTGCTATTTCCCTGATAATCTTTAAGCAGTTTAAGAACAGTGATGGTGACTTAAGGCCTTTATTCTGATAACACTAAAATGAGCTGAGTAATGTTATTCATGTAGGAACCATGCCTGAGGTCAGCAAGAACAATCCACATATAAGGATATGGAGATGCCACTGTCAAATCAGGAGCAAAATCAAGGGAACTTAAAGACATTCCCCTTTGCTGCTCCATGTTTCTTTAGGGTTTGTTTCACACTAGTAAATCAAACAGAAACTATCCCATGTCACAGGTCACACATTAAATCAGACAGGGAGCTTTCCCCAGCAGGCAGTTTTCATGACGCCACCCTGTTTTGAAGGATAAGGAAGTTTGCTAGCACAAAGATGTGCAGGTCTCAGAGCTGGTCCCAGAAAGGTGTTGGTTTTTACCTCAGGTGACCTCAGACCTGTTCTCCTGGTCATTGCACCCCAGAGAGATGCTGTGATCCAGCCCCAGCCTCTCCACAGTTCATACTGTCCTACTATCCAAAGATGTATCCTAGAGAGGTACCCAAATAAGTCCAGCTTCTGTCCTGAGCAGCAGCTCAGCAGCCAAAAGCTGATTTGGAATTGATGCCCAAACATTTGTCCAGGAATCCATGAGTATTTGGAGACAGGCTTGTTTATCTGGATTTGTTTAAATTGATAAAAACTAGAAGCAATCATCCAATCACTGTT